AGATGGTACTATGCTTTACATTAAACTGCAAGAACTAGGATTAAAGGTAAAAAATAAGTGAAATACTGATGTTGGGTAAAATGTAAGGAGTGTTTGAACTCCAGTTTTTAAATAATAAAAAGGTTGTTTAATAACATTCTCATTTGGTCACCTGATCAGATTATTGACATCTGTGGGTTTAGATGTACAGGTAGATTACACATGCTGTCATCAGAAACATATATACTATTATATGAGACTAATTTTAGGAATATTGATTGTTTTCTTATCTTGAGGCTCAAGAATTTATTAGTTGTGAGGGATTTTCTAACTCAGAATATGAAAGATTCTACTAAGGATGATTATATTTCACATTATTTGTAATGTGGAGAAAGATATGGTGACAAATTAAGTTGTCCAAGAGAATGATAGTTACCATAGCTTTATTATGCTTGAAGTATTTTATTATTATTATTGAAACCAATTGTAGAGTGAATAAAGTTTGTATTCTAGATTTTATGAAAGCAAACTTCCAGAAGCAAGATGCTTTGATACAGAAAAGATTGACTGGCTACTCTAAATGGGAAGAATGATAAAGAAGCTAGGGATGTCAGTTAAAAAAAAACTAGCTGAAAATTAATATATTTCTACCAAGTATCATGCATTCCACCCGAAACAGAAGAATTATGCTAGTAAGAAATAGAAACCTTACTAGCTAAAAAAGACTAAATGGGAGTAAACTGAGTTTTATAAAAATTAAAGTGACAGATTTAACTTGAAAGACTTTTTATAGTTATATTAACTTTAAAAAACAGTGAATATTGCATCCTAAATATATTTAAAAGGAAAATAGTTATGTAAGATGGAAGCATCACCAAATGCTAAACTTTTCATTAGTGCTTTTATTGATAAGAATGAATAACAGGCTTTTCAGCTGTCTGATTTCTTTAACGGCTTTCTTATTCCAAGTTTTTTTTAAACAGGTAATGTAATTTACTTGTAATTTTATCACTGCACAGTGTTGTGTCTTTTGTTTTTATTGTTGAGTTTTATTATTAAGTGCTTTTTACTTGATCTTTCTTTGTTTGGTTTTTTAAACTTTAATTCAGTTTGTCTAACATATTTGTTTTTTACTTTAAATAAAACTTGTTACGTAACTTTTACTTTTATGACACTTTTCATTATAATTTCACACACCATTTCACATAAAAATGGAAGTCCTGAGCTCTGTGTCCACTCTTGTGTTAGAACCCCATGGTACCATTAAGACATTGATATATAATTTAAGATAAAAACAATGGGGGATATTACTTAAATTTTGTCACCAAAGGTCTACAATTTTTTGCACTGTAGTCTACATAAAAAATCTTACAGGCCTCGTCTCTACAGTTATTTTTCGCATTGAAAGAATCTACCAAGTGCACTTGTATGTAGAGAAATATTTTCAGGATCTCTCTGCATTGCTTACTGATTTGAAGATGAGAGAAAACATTTTAATTATATATTATTGTTTTGATTAGGCTGGGTTTAATGTTAAATTAAAATTAGATATTACAAAATTTATTGACTTTCGTCTGGATGTATTTATGCTGCTGTAGATTCTTTAGAGCAGCATATCAGGATTGCAGATGGACACATGCGTCATTCAAGTTACCAATGTTGCCCCAGTGGCCACCCTGGAGCAAATGTCAACTTTATTTGGCTATCTTGGAAAAATTGAACAAATTCAGATGTACCCTTCAGAGTAAGTAAAAATAATTAACTTTATTTGGTGTGCATTTATTATTGTTCTTTTTTTATACATATAGTAATTATGTTGATTGATTTTTAATATTGATTTTTAAAAAAAAAGATACATAAAAAGTTTCTATTTTCTTGGACCAAAGTAAAAGTAAAGGTGAATTATGTTTTAAGGCTAATCAAATGTAAATAACATTATCATTTTTCTATATAGTTTTCCAGCTACATCACAAGCAAAGTGTCCTATTTAGATTATTCCCAAGTACACTTATATACTCAGGTAAATTTTAAAGATAGTTTACTTAAAAAGAAGATCATAAATTTTTTAAATCTTTCTAGTGACTCTATCATTCAACCATTGTCCCGAGTATGTTATGTGAAATTTGCAGAGTCCTGGAGTGTGGGAGTTGCTCAGCATTTGACAAATACTGTCTTTATAGACAGAGCTCTAATCGTAGTTCCAGTACCTGATGGTGAGTGATAAATATTACAGATGTTTTTTAAAGCCGTATTTTATATCATTGATTCAAAATATTGTTTAAAAGACCTAAAAATGTTTAACTGATTAATGTTTTCAAATTCCTGTTTAAATTATTTTCTCACAAAAACCAAGATTTTCTTCTTTTTTTTCAAAGCAAATGTTCCTGTTCAAAAAACAACAATCATTTCTGGTTCTTAGATATTATTTATGCCATATTATAAGCTTTTCTAACAATATGTGATAAATGACCACTAAAATAGGAAAACAATGAAAAATTCATTTTGCAAAAATTTGGGGTAAGTATTTTATTGACAGAAAAATGTTTATCTACTGCAGTTGTGTCTAAGTCTTTCAGGATCGATGTACACCTTTATGGGGTTGAGTTAAATATTTAATTTCCAACTTTATGTAAAAATTATAATACTAAATCTATTTCGATAATTTTTAAACTCAAAAATAGTTTATAATCCATAATTTGTCATTTGGTAGCTTTAATGTAAGTTTGCAAGTTAAAGTGAAAAGAAAAGTTAAAACTTTATTTCTGTGCAGCCTCGGGCAGTCTCGCCTATAAACAATGCAATTATCTTTTTTTTTTTAGAATTTTTCTGCAAATCCAAAAGCATAGAAATTATTATTCTTAGATAAAGATTGATTGAGACTAAGAATATTATGAGCATAAATATTGTTACTTAGCCAGATTTGACACTAGTTTGATAGGTAAGGTTATTAGTCACAGATGAATCTTTGTCAGCTTTTGTATTGTTTCGTACAACATATAGCCAAAAGCTGTGGTTTACTATAGTTGGTAAAATAAAGTATCAAAAATATATGTTGTTAAAACCAATTAAGAAGAAATTGATTGCATGTATGAAGTGGAACTTTCTGATCAACAATAAAAAATACTTAAATTATAAGATGAAAAGGAAGTATCATTCATTTTTTTTCAAAACAGTGTCTCACAACGAAATTTCAGAAATTGTATGACAAAAATCAAAAATCAAACATATCAAATTATATGAAGTTCTTTTAAGCCAATACCAGATACTATTTATTCTAAGTTACATATAATTTGGTCAAGTATTACAACTGTGAGAAGGAAATAAATTCAAAGGGTATCTGTGTTATCTCTCTGGTCCAGAAAGGATTAAATTACTTTTTTCTTAAAAATTACTGTTGAAGTTATATTAATTAGTCCATTCCATTTAAAATTTAATGTACTTAAGTTTATATTATTATTTTTTGCAGTGTTGTAGAGTGTAATCAACTAATTTTACTATGTCACAGGAATAGTTCCTGATGAAAGTAAAGCAATGGCTCTGACAACTCCAACTTCAAGTATATCTGGGATGAGCCCTTCCTCTGGAGCTGCACAGCTTGTTAATCAGGTGATCTATGTATTTTGTTCAGGCTTTGTATAGAGGTTAAAGGTTTCTGATAAAGTTTTAAAATGTTTGAAAAACTATAGGATACGAACAAAACGTGCAGTTGGAAATGACTGTTCTCTGAATAAGATATTGAAACACTATAGATATGACAATATCATGTGATGCACATTAGAACTGGGTGAATTAGTTGATATAATTGATTACCTATGAGTATTGAATAAGTTAATTAGTGTCTCGTAAACTATTTGATTAGTCGATTAATGTCATGAAAATAATCAACTAATCAAAATTAGCTGTTTCGATTATTCCAATAATCAAGTAATCAAAATCATAATCAAATCAGTTGTCACAACAGCAATAAATTAATCAAGATTTTGGTTTCTAATTATTTGTTCTTTTTTCAATAATTCCATTATCCACATAATCACAATATTGCCATGCGGTTGGTTTTTAGGTGCAAAGCTACGTAACTGACATGGGTCATGATTTGAGGGGGTCTCAGCTTCAATTCCTGTTGATACTAACCTTGCTCACCATGTCTCTGTTAATGTAATGCCACTAAGGTTATCTATTACTGTCACTAGTTTTGAATTGCAGGCTAGAGGGAAAGCAACTGTTTGGCTGCATCCACCATCAACTATCTGGCTTCTTAATATTAAATAAGGTGTAATTTTATTGTTATTATACATTGTGTTATGTTTCTAACTTATAATTGGATAACTGTATTCTTAAATGTTATATGAGTAGATGTGGATCTAGGGGACAAGTTCAGGGAATCTGGACTCCCATCTATTTTTTTCAGAAATTAATAATTGTGGCAGGGTAGGAGTCATCTTTAGCTAAGACAGTTTTATTTTTCTAACAGGATGGTTGCCCTTTGGAATGGATTACTTTCAGATGTTGTGGAGGCAGTAAATTTAAGTGACTTTAAGAGAAACCTTGATAAGTATATGGTTGATAAGGGCTGGCTTTAAGATTTTATTTTTTAATTTATTTATTAATAGTCTTAGTTTAGTTTAAAAGATGGAACAGCCGAGATGGATCATTAGGTCCCATGTTGTTCCAAAACATTATGCTATATTATACAACATTAAATAATAAAATTTATATTCGTGTCCCCTAGTCCTACTATTCTCATTGTTAAGTATGAAAAAAGATGATGCATCAACACTATCAATTTCCTTTACAATGCAATTACATTCTTAAACACCTCAATTAGATCCCCTACTAACTCTTCTTTTTTCAAGAGAAAAAATAATTTCAGAGATTTCAACCTCTCCTTGTATGACAACCCCTCCATTCCAGGCACCATTTTAGTAATCCTTCTCTGAACCCTTTCCAACAATTCAATATCTTTCCTAAGATAAGGAGCCCCAGAAACACAATATTCTAAATGTGGCCTAACCAGTGATCTATACAATGAAATTATAACCTTTTTAGAGTTGTATTCAATATTTCTGTAGATACAACCTAAAACCCTATTTGCCTTACCACTAGCAACAACACACTATTTGGATGTCTTCAGAGACTGGTCAACTATTACACCAAGATCCCTTTATTCATGACACTATTAAAGTTATTCCCATCCAAATTATACTTATGATTCAAATTATGATGACCCACAT